CCCCCCCTCCCACCCTGTGTGCCCGCCTTCACTATCCACTGGCGGGTGACGATGGAGCCCCCGCAGACATGAGTGCCCTGCACATGGAGGCTGACCTGCCACGGCCACTGCCCCAGCACCGCCCCGCTGCCACCCACGATTCTGTTCATCATGGTCATGCTTTTAGTGGACAGGCCGCACTCTAAGGAGTCAGTCAGACACACACAGGCATTAGTTAAGGAGGAAGCTGGTCTGGAAGATGCTTCTGCAGCCCAGGCTTCACTAGAAGAGGGGAGCACAGACCATGTCCAACCTCTGCACTGCTGCCCTGGACACTGAGATCCAGAGTCTCCCATAGCCTAGACCAGCTTCCCATTGCAAACGTCAAGATGAGTATTGGGTAGCTGCTGCCCCCAGCTCACCACAAACCATAAACCAGTGGTTCATTACGCCTTTGAGTGTGGTATTCGGGTGTCTCTGGAGAGCCACACAGACACACGCATTTGTGTTGTGCGACAGAACAGACAACAGCCAGGAGTCACCTCATGGCAGCCATCACCATCAGGAAGGCACTGCCCACCTGATGGCCACGTGTTGGGGGGCAGATGCACCACAGACATCCCACCATGGCTGCCCGGCACGGGCTACAGAGCTTCACCACAGGCAAGTCATTTAAAGGAACCAGAGGGAGCATAGACAAAAGCAACTGGGGATCCAACATCCTCCTTGTCTCCTCTCCCACCCTGCTCCTTGAACTTGGGAACCACAGTTAAATCATCTGCCCATCAAAAGGCAGCAATTATTTATGCAGATTAAAAAAAAAAAACACCAGCCAGAGCATTTCAAAACATGAGCAAGCAGAAGTTTGAGGAACATGGTCGCTTACCTATGCAGCGCAGAGATACCACATTTCCCGATGTACAGGAATCGCTGCAATAGGAATACAAAAAACAAGCTGGATTTTAGGCACACAGCGAAGCAAATGGTGGGCAAAGCTCACCCTCCAGCTGCTGCCTACCCTTTCCAGCTACGTGCCCTGCCTTCCCCTCCTCTTCCTGCCGGGGGTTCCCTCCTTTCTTCACTCTCTCCAGCTACCCTACCAGCAGCCATCTGGCCTCCACCACTTCCTGCATTCACCAAAACTGTCATGTGGAACACTGCAGTCGCCAGTACAAAAGGACTGTAAGCCTATTGAGGAGCAAGATGAAGAAGAGCGTGAGAAAAAGTTGAGCTGATCTATGAAGTAGTTGTAGAAGAACCTAAGCAAGGGAGCCACGGGAACTTTGCAGGCATGGCAGTCTACAAGTTTAGAAACTAGGCACTTCTGAGTTGTTTAATGAGAATAAAAATGATACTTTCCACAGGAAAAGATCCATTTTGCATGCTGTGTGTTCATGTGACAGAAAAAAAAGCTGTACCAGCTGCTGTGAATGTGTTACAGCTAGTAGCTATTGTCACCGTATAGAAACTCCTGCTGATGGTCAAAGAGCCCTAGAAAAGTATCTGACATGGCAGCCTTCTAGACAGCATGGAGGGAGCATGATGGGACATCTTCCCTTTTAAAATAGGAGAGAAAGGATGGAGAAATGACAGCTGGGTTTTTAAACAGAAGTGAGAGCAGTTGCTGCAGTCAGATTGAAAACAAAGTCTCTTTCCCTCTAACAATCCCCACTGAAGATGTACTTGCATTTTGCTATGGGCAGAAGCTACACCTCTTACAACAGCTAAAAAGACCCCTGATAAAAGGAAAGAAGTTTGTATTAAACACAGATACCTGCTGTACAGCTTTTTGTACAAGTCTATGTTCCCAGCACTTGTGTTCAGCTTCATGTAGCTTTTAAAGCTGGCTTCAGCTGCGACCCCTCGACTATAGTAATATGTGTCTCTGCAAAACAGAAAGTCCATTATGAAGCCCAGTAGTTTCAATTTTCAAACAAGTAACAATAAACTGTGCCAAGCTAGAGCTTCTGACATGAACAACACTAAATATGTTGGGGTTTGGTTTTGTTGGTTTTTTTTTTTGTTTTTTTTTTTTGTTTTTTTTTTTTTTTTAAATTAAACACAGAACCCCAGTGGTGTAGTACAGTGCTAGAAACTCAGATTCTTTGAACATTTGTCAAGTTCCATTTCATATCAAACAGTTACTACATTAAAATAATATTTTTATCTAATATGCATGCACAGTGGGAATCTTCAGCCTTGTGAAACAGAGCAAGATGAAGAGATGCCTTTGCCAGTACTTTTACACAGCCCAGCAGAATTCAGGTCCAGTAAGTCATGACAGCCACGTTTCTGTGGGACAACGACAGGGGTAGCACGTGCTGCTGTTCTGCTGGGCTTTCTAGCTGAGGACCAGCTCTGTGTAGTTGCTGCTGGGCTGTCTTACTGGAGTTGGAGCAACTGGGGTCATTGCTGGTTCAGAGACCTGAATTCCAAGCACCATGAGGCAGCATGGGCACACACAAGCTCTGCCTACCTGGGTAATAAATTCACTCCATTACTCCACGCACAGCAGAAGACAGTATTTGCCAACTGTATCAAAGAGAGGCAACATCAAGTATTTCAACTGCAGAAGAATTTAGGTTGCGGCGTTACATGGGGAGAATGTGGGCAGCACTCAGGGCAGCAAATGTTTATGGTGATCTTCCACATGAGCTGGTGTTACTTGTGTCCTCAGAAGACCAAGGCTTTCCATATAATACCAGTAATGACAGGTGAAATCAGACTGGATGTTATTGAGCAATTACAAAGATCTGAAGCAACCTTTGGAAGATGGTTGTAAGTGAATGTATAGGACACAAGTGTCCCCACCAAGTAATTACTGCACGCGTGCCAGACCCCGTCACTTCTTGGGGCAACATTTCATTTTGATCCTGTAACAGCTACCATCGTTAAAATCAGACCCACTTGGGTTCACAAGAACTAGATTGCCAACTACTTTTTGTGTCAGATATGCGTTCTTAAAAGCAGCAAGAGGGAAATTTTAACCTTTCTATGTATGTACAAAGGCTGACGAAGGTTAGACTTACATGCTGTAGCCCATGTCTTTACATGCAATCTTCCCATAATCATCATTCCAGCCATCTTGACAAACAGGATACCAGGATTTGCTGACAGGTGAATAAACTTCCAGGATAAAGTTTGATCCAAAAAGTCTAACTGCCAGAAAAGGAAGAAGGAAAAGAAAAGAAAAAAAAAAAAAAAGAAACCAAGAACACCACACGCTATATTACAGCTCTTTCTCTACTTAAAAGATTGTTATCCATAATATTTGCTTGTATGTATGAACTGGTGTTAATTTAAATGCTACCTTCTGCTCAAATTCTGAGTAAATATCAAGTAGACAGAAATATCGCAATAACTTAACTCTTTTGTGTCAGGTAATTTCAAAGAACTAGCAGTTTAAAAACGCAAGTGTACAAGATAGCGCTCATCTTTTCATTTCAGGTTCTATGCTCAAAATTTTCTTTCACATTCTACCACTGAGAAAGATTGCGATAGCCAACCTCTTCTTATCTTTTATCTACACAACCATATATTTCTTAATATATTATATATCGTGTATAAATAAATATAATCTATTGTAATATATTTTATATTATATCTTAATACCCCAAATTTCCTCAGAGAAGTGCCTGTAGAGCAAGAATGTAACAAGGAGCAATTACTCTGACATTCCATGCCCCATTATGTATTTATTCGCACCAGAATTTAATATTAAATAGTTCAAGCAAAAGAACAGACTAAACAAGCTTCTCCAAAAACCCATTATTCAACCAAATGGGGAGGAACAGCTTTAGAGCATATGCCAGGAAATGCTGCGTGTAGAATAAAAGTTCCCAGAGAGAGAATAAGAGAACAACCAGAATTTTCTAGAGTGGCACCAGCACAACACAGATGTTAGAAACAAGATGCCACACCTTTGGAATGGACAATTGGATCTTTTCACCTTCCGTCTTCAGACCTGCACTAAAGCTTCCCTTAGCATCTTTTTCCTTGGAAAGGAGGTATGAAGTAGTTGATGCATTATTGGGAGAACAAGGAATGAAAAATATGTGGAAAAAGACAAGCCTGACTGAACACCACCAGATTTATGTTATCACCTAAAGTTCTACTAGGATGTCAATGATGACTGTTCATTTTGGAGACAATGTTACATTCAGTTTTGCACAAATCCCATTCAAATTAAAAGGTAATATTTTAAAAAGTGATTCAAAGTTAATCCAGCTCAAGCCCCAGAGTCGGTCATTTTGTTTCAGCTTTTCAATCGGACTGGAAACAAACTAAGTATCTAGATACAGGCTTCAAAGTGCTCAAATATCCTAAACCATTTTAGAGTTATAACTTAAGCTAAAACGGCCCTAATGTACCTTAGGCAAGCTTTGGACAAGGCAATTTGATCAAAAATTCTCTCAATTGGGTGAAGGTCCCCCCCATCAACTGCTGGCACTCACCACACCGGGTTTCATCCTCCCCGTTGGGGCAGTCGCTCACTCCATCACACCACTGGGAGGGCTGGATACACACTCCTGAAGATCCACACTCTATTAAGGAGATGACACAACTATCCCGTACTGCAGGAGAGAGAGCAACACAGACATTAGGCTTAACATCAGCTTAGCCTCAAGCAACTACTGACAACTCTCATCTTAAGGAGTATTCCGCATCGATAGACCAAAACATCAGAAAGAGCTCTTAAACTCAGAGATGGGAGGAGACCTAGTCTGACACAACAGAAGATGTATTGCTGTCTTTTACATTGCTTGTCAGATTAAGTCACTGGTGCAGCTGACTGGATTTTGTCCACTGCCTCCCCCGAACAAGCAAGCACCATTAAGTTGTCTAAAAGGAGTCAGCCTTACACTGACAAAGCATAACACTTAGAAACAGCAAAGGAGGAAGAAAGCAATTACTCCAATTACATCCTTTTGCTTTCGCTGCCATTTAAAACAAGATTACATTCAGCCTGTATAAATCAAAGTGACCGAAAAAAAACCCTAAGAACATACAGTGTCATCCCAACAGTTTTAAACGAACTCCCTTCTCCCTTTCTTTTCCTGCACAGAGCAGAGAGGAGAGGTTCCGAAAAAACAAAGGAAATTGGGTTTTAGTTTCCTTTGAAAAGTGGCTTTCATTGAAAGGGAAATTAAGATAGCACAAGACAAACTTCACCTAAGCCAAAGAGAATTGATCTAGCCCAGCTTCAGAGATCAGTCGCCCCAGTTGGGGATGACTTCCAAGGCAAACGTATCACCTCTGCTATGGCTTACAGTGGTGAGTCAGGCTGGGCTCACACCGCGTTAGCATACTTTTAAAGCAAAAGCCTCACAGAAACAAACAGACACGAATTACTTCTGCTCCAAGAGAGATCCCATTTTACCATAAAATCATAGAACTGTTAGAGTTGGATGGCAGGAACACCTTCCACTAGACCAGGCTTTGAGTAACAAAACCCCATCCAACCTGATCCTGAATACCTCCAGGGATGGGGCATCCACAACTTCTGTGGGAAATCTATTCCAGCCTCACCACCCTCACAGTAAAGAATTTCTTCCTAATATCTAATCTAAATCTCCCCTCCTCCACTTTGAAGCCATTCCCCCTCATCCTATCACTACACTCCCCAATAAAGAGTCTCTCCCCATCTTTCCTGTAGGCCCCCTTTAGGTACTGGAAGGCCACTGTAAGGTCTCCCTGGAGCCTTCTCTTCTCCAGGCTGAACAACCCCAGCTCTCTCAGCCTGTCTTCACAGGAGAGGTGCTCCAGCCCTCAGATCATCTTTGTGCCCCTCCTCTGGACCTGCTCCAACAGATCCATGACTTTCCTATGTTGGCAGCCCCAGAGCTGGATGCAGTACTCCACGTGGGGTCTCGCCAGAACAGAGTAGAGGGGGAGAATCACCTCCCTCGACCTGCTGGCCATACTTCTTTTGGTGCAGCCCAGGAAGCAGTTGGCTTTCTGGGATGCAAGCGCACATTGCCAGGTATCTTGACCATTTACACTCTTGTGGTTAAGTTACACAAAATTATTTCAATCTCCTTCCTTAATTAAGTGAAGTTAGAATTTGGAACAAGTTTCATTTTGTCGCACAGCAGTGATTTCCCTAACAAAACGCACTGCAGAATGTGTTGTCTATGCACAGTCACGTGCCAGCTACCCGCCAGTGCAAAAACCCTTGCAAGAGGTCAAACTACTCTACATTGTTTATTAAAAAGAATAAAAGAATCCAACAACCAAAACTGAGCCTTAAGGTATCAACATTAGTTTATCTCTTAGGAGATAGGTAACAAAGGCTTTCCTGTCCTTAATTCAGCTTAAAATAAAAGGCAAGAATGTATATTTCTAACTTTAGAAGTTTAATACATCTTCTCTTTCAGAACAGAAAAAAAAATCTTACCAAAATACCAGATGAAGAAAGCAGCAATTGCGCAACAGATTACTATTAAAATGGATAATACAATGATTATGATTTTCTTTATACCTGAAATGAAATCAAGGAGAAAAAGGTAAATTAGGTTCACAAGCAAGGTAATGTCCAGCCACCAGGACTATTTCCTTGACGTTATAAACAGACATTTTTTGCTAGACAGACTTTTCTCCATTCCACCACCCTTCCTCCAAACTGCCCAGGTTCCTGTCCAGTTGCACCACCATCCCAGCCAGCTACTACTCCTTTATCCACCAGGAAATGGCTCCTTCAGTACAGGAGTTGGAAGGGAAGATCCCTTTTATTTGTTATCTTGCTTTGGAAGACCTTAAGTCTAAAATCGGAAGAAATCCCACCAAAACTTACTTGATGCACGTGTTCTCCCGGATGAACTTGCTACTGGCCTACTCGACTGATGGGTAGCAACTGTTGGGACATAGCTTGGCACTGGCGGAGCATTTGTTGAGAAGTACGGTGGATTTGGGTTAGCACCTACTGGCTGCCTGGCAGAATACAAGTTCGCTGGCTGAAAGCCATGATTTTCATAGTATGGCTGTGGACCCTAAATTATAACGTTGAGGGGAAGGAAACAGGAGAAAAACAAAAAACAAGAGGCAGGACTGCAATTAGGACAAAATAAGTTTCAAATGCCATTTACATTCAGAACCCTATTAAGTAATTCTCTTGGGATTGAGTGCACCCTCCGAAAGTTTGCCAACGACACCAAGCTGTGTGGAGCAGGCAACACACCGGAGAGAAAGGATGACATCCAGAGGGACCTGGACAGGCTTGAGAGATGGGCCCATGCCAACCTCATGAAGTTCAACAAGAACAAGTGCAAGGTCCTGCATGTGGGCCGGGCCAATCCCAAGCACAAATATAGGCTGGGCAGAGAATGGTTTGAGAGCAGACCTGAGGAGAAGGACTTGGGGGTGTTGGTTGATGAAAAACTCAATGTGAGCCAGCAATGTATGCTCACAGCTCAGAAGGCCAATTGTATCCTGGGCTGCACCAAAAGAAGTGTGGCCAACACGTCAAGGGAGGTGATTCTGCCCCTCTACTCCACTCCCGTGAGACCCCACCTGGAGTATTGCATCCAGCTCTGGAGCCCCCAACATAGGAAAGACATGGACCTGTTGGAGACAGTCCAGAGAAGGGCCACAAAGATGATCTGAGGGCTGGAGCACCTCTCCTGTGAGGAAAGGCTGAGAGAGTTGGGGTTGTTCAGACTGGAGAAGAGAAGGCTCCCGGGGAGAGCTTATTGCGGCCTTCCAGTACCTAAAGGGGGCCTACAGGAGAGCTGGGGAAGGATTTTTTACAAGGGCATGTAGTGATAGGATGAGGGGGAATGGTTTCAAAGTGGACGAGGGTAGATTTAGATTAGATATTAGGAAGAAATTTTTCACTCTGAGGGTGGTAAGGCACTGGAACAGGTTGCCCAGAGAAGTTGCAGAAGCTCCATTCCTGGAGGTGTTCAAGGCCAGCTTGGATGAGGCTTTGAGCAACCTGGTCTAGTGGGAGGTGTCCCTGCCTATGGCAGGGGGGGTGGAACTAGATGATCTTCAAGATCCCTTCCAATCTAAACCATTCTATGATTCTATGATCCATCAAGGTAGAAATAAGCAGCATGGACAGTTTTAGGCAGTACCGTCATTGAAGGAAACACTGACAAGTATCAGCCTTTGGGTGCGCAGTTGCCCAGGTCTCGGATAAATGTTTACTGCCCCATTTCGTGCTATGGCACCACCAGGTATACCTAAGCTATTTTTGAAATGCACTGGGCTACAACTGGTTGTGGAATATTTATCCTGGAAGAGCTTTTAGAACTGGTTAGAAGCCATTCCAGTCTATCCCTCCAAAATAAGCTTTAAAAGTATAAATCTCTCCCAGGGGTATCTGAGCACTTGAAATGCTAGTTAATTCAAGCCTCTTACACCTGCCTCAAAGTATATCTTTCCCCTTTTGCAGAAAAGAAAGCACAACAAACACTCCACATTTTAGCAAACTTGTTGACCAGGACATTACTCAATAGGCTGTTACTTGTAAAGAATAAAACCTCATTTAAAAAAAAAAAAAAAACAGAGAGGAATATTTTTAATATTTTGTTTACTTACTACAGTAGAGGTCATCTTCCCTTTGTCAGCAGTATTGAAACAATTCAAGTGTTTGGAAGTAAAGCGTGAACCTATATTAAAAAAAAAACAAAAACAAAAACAAAAACAAACAAACAAACAAAAAAAAACAAAACAGAAACAGAAAACAATCACAACCAGAAGCTTTGTCCACCTTTCCTTTCCTTTGGAAAAATGCCAAATCCGGGGGAAAAAAATACGGAAGTATTTCAAGAGAAGGTACAACTTAAGGTGCAGCATGAAATCGGATCTCAATAGCCTCTCAATACAACCTTGAGGATTATACAGTAGCAACTATTCATTAACACGAGCGCCACACAAACCGAGAAGATTAAGTTAGTGCTCACTCTCGCTGACAGAATGAGAGTTAAAGAATATCCTGGCAACAACCCACATGGTGTCAGTACCAAGTTCAGGTCCTCCTGCCTCTCTCAACACTTACTCATGTATCGCTCTGAGGTTTATGACACAGAAACGAGAACATGAACAAAGCATCAGAAAATACAAATTCAGCTAACTCATTTGATAACGTCATGGATAGCAGCCCTACAAGCCACACGTTTTTCACTCTTCCGCGTTGCCAACCATTGTTTTCTCAGTTGTGTGTTGTAGCCACCACACCAAAACCAGAGAGAGAGAAGCACAGCAGGGAAACAATATGCCACACCAATACAAAAGTTTTTCAAATACAGAGAGCAGCTACATCAAATGTTTCAACCATATAGCAGTTTATTTTAAAGTTAAACATTAACATTAAGTAAAACCACAGATTAGCAAAGACCCAAGAAACACAAAATGTTTGCTGCCGCAGTTCTTAAATAGGCAGTTATACACCTCCACAAGCAATCATATTAATAAATAACTTAATCTACTGAGTCCTCTCATAATGTTACTCTACTTAAAAAAAAAAACCCTAGGCAGTGCCTCCGTCATGCACTGAGAAATACATTTCTCCAGCTTCCAGAGCTGTACCCTGCGCACAGGCACATTGGCATGATCCTTGTCGAAAGCCACGATTATAAAGAGCAGTTGCATTAAGACACAGCATAATTCATCCCAAAGTATAAGGTTATGTTTTAGAACCTGTACCAAGGTGTCATCTCACTCAAAACTAAACTGCAAATGTCTTTGAAGCAAATTTCAGCAGCAGCTTGGCACCCCGAGCGTGCCAATACTTCATGACAGTTCAGGAAGGCTGATTCTGGTATTTGCTTACTAGTGCTAGCAAAAAAAGGTAAATAATAACGCACTGTTGAACTCTTATTTGCACAGCAGACATGTGAAAAACAAGTCTTATTCCTACTTACAGTACGTCCATCAGATTGGTGACTAAGGCTTCAGGACTTCTGCTTTATGTCGCTTCCATTCTTACTCATCTCTTCATAGCAGAGTTGGGAAGTGTAGCTCTGCCCGGACTTAGAGGACGAGTAACAAGTCACAGGAAGATATTTTTGTTCTTTGTTCTCTGAAAAGGAGGGGGAAAAAAAGGATTAGGAAGTTTAGTGATAGTAGCCAGAAGAATCCTAGGTGGTGATTCAGTGGTAAACCAACAGGTATTATGACCACAGAAGAACACAAACATTTTTTATATTACAATTTGAAAGGCTTTGCAAATTGGCAGATGACAGCCTTCCTCACTCTTTTCGTTTGGTTGGTTGGCTTTGGTTTTTAAATGAACTAAGGAAAAAATATGTCTGTTGCTTAACTGGCTTTTAACCATCATTCCCAGTTTAGTTCTTGTTAATCTGTTTCCCATCCAGCTTCTGATTAATTACTGTTTTCTGTTATCACACCACAAAACACAGAAATGTCATAGGTACACACATATTTCCATGGTATTACACATACACATTTGCCAGTGTATTAGAAACAGATTAAACCAAACCCACTGGGCTCCCATTAGTTTGCAAACATTTAAGGCAAAAATCGATGGGTAGGGTCCAATAATGATATAATCTAGTTTTCTTAACACACATCACTGACACTTCAAAATGTTTTACAAATACATCAAGGGTACTGAAACAACTTCACAGATAAGGAAGCTGGGTAATGGAGAAACAAACTGACCTGTCAAACACTCCCCATCCCAACAACTGTGGAGCTAGAAGAGACTGGTCTGTCTTATCTCAGTCCAATACTTTGGCCTCTTAACTCACGTCACACATCAGACAGATTTAAACAGATCCCACATAGAAGTACCATAAACCCACTCTGGTGCAGAAGAGTTTAGTGGGAACACACAACTATCCTTCCTTCCCACTGCCAGTCATTCCTCCTGATGTCTGCCGAGCTATGACGGCACTTTGCTGGGTACATCTGAAGAAACAAACCTCAAAAGTCCTCTGAAGCGAGCTGGTGGAGTCAAAGCACACAGAGATCAGCAGGCAAGGAAACAGGGATGAAGCTCACCCACACAGCAGGCGCGAAGGTACGAAGAGACAGGGCGCAGGGAGCCAGAGCCTTGCAGGTCAGCTTGCTAACACCTTCTAGCTTTGGAAAAAGTATAGCTAAATAATGAAAGGGACCCATCACTTATTTGCAGTCAAGCCCTTGAATTTCAAAAATGTCAGTTTACTCCAGTATGGATGGAGCAGAACCAGCATTTGAACCTCTGGCAGCACAGAAGGTCTAAAATTGAGTGTGCTTTTGTTTCATAGCTCTGAAAATAAAGAAATAACACTACTGTTTCTAATGACAGGCGATAATGAGAATATAAAACATATAGCCAGCACTGACATAACGTACTGACGAATACAATGAAACGTACTGCCTCACAGCTCGCAGCTATTACTTGAAATATCTTAGCTTCTTCTCATGTATGCCTTAGGAGTATTGTAATTAAAGTTCTGTCATGGGTCATTAAGATTACAAAATACATCATTTTTTCTAATAAAAGGTGTAAGAATGAAAAAAAAAAACCCAAACAATAAAAATTTGAAAATATTAGTTTAATTCAAAACAAATTTAATCCAATAGCTTTTTTAGTTTTTCTATGGATTTCTGCAAATCAATTCTTTATATTTAAGCAAAAGTTGCAGTAGAGTTGGTCTGTACTTCACTTGATAACATACCACTTAATTGAATACAGACTTCCTGGACTATTAGTCCTCCAAAGGCCTGTCCTCCTCCCTGCCACAGTGACAGCTGCTCTGTCCCCTGAACAAGAAAAGCACCGAGCACTGAGCCATGGTGCTCAGCTGTAAGTGGTCCTCACCGCCATGTCCTCCTAAGCACCTCACCTCGCTACTGCTGGGCGAAGGTCAGCCTCCGCTTTGGCCTCCTTACAGCAGCATCAGGTCATGACTCCTTTATACCACGTGTCCTTCGCTAGCCAGGAGCCAACATCCCAAAAAGGCAAGAGAAAGAATGAAAGGCAAAGAAACCCTAAAGATTCAACCATGATTTTGTTAATGAAACCAGACTTGCTGGCTTTTACCCTAGTTGTCCATGCAAGAAATAATAATGGTACTTCCTCAGTACACACCATGTGGTAATTGTTAATTAAGAGTGGTACCATGCTCTGGAGGCACAGAGTTCCACAAGTACTGCTAGCTATACTAGTTTCCACAAGCTTTTATATAGAGATCACTATATGTTGTCTCCATTCCTAGATGCCTAAGTCAATAGGATGGAATAATTACCTTCCAGATATCCTAATCTAACACTGTAAATTCAACTTGGCCAATGAAGTCAGAGTTACATTGGCAACGGTAGACATCCTGCATTTATGTATTACTTCAACACATATTTTGTGCTATTTCCTGAAATAGAAACATCATTAGCTGCTTGCTGAGCTCTATGGTAGGTATCAACAATTGAAAACACAATAACCAACAAAAACAAATGCATGAAATCAAGTTCAGCTTCTAAAAGGAGGAAGCATAAAAGCATCCAAACACTCTCCATGAACACTGACTAACACAGTGTCACATACAAGAAATTAGCAGTTCCCTTTATCCAGATAAAGAAATATAGCACATGCAAATGAACAAACTGGCAAAACTCATTAAGATAGCAAAGGAGTAATTCCAGTGCAAAGCTCAACCTTAAAAACGGGCAAGCCAACAAATCATGGCTTTTGTTGATGATGTCAGAAAGGAAGTATTGCTTTTATTTTGTTTATTCCCAACTGTTTTATGACAACCCAGAAGTTTCAGTAGCGTAATCTTAAACACAATATAACCGTGATACAAAGATGGGGAGGAAAGGGAGGAGGGGCAATAAAAAAAAAAAAAAAAGAGAGAGAGAGAAAACAAGCAAAGACGTGATTCCACACTCATTTACATGATCTTTTCCCCCACTGGGCAATTCCTGCCTCTGCTACGTGGACAAGAGAAAAGAAACGTGGTCAAGATTTCTGTTTAACAAGCAGCACTAAAAGTTACCATGACCTGAAAATGAAGTATGGAAAAGTTAAAAAAAAAAAAAAACAAAACAAAAGAGTTATGTATGAAAAAAAAAGGAACTAAATAAAAATTATCTCATTTTATTATCAAGATTTCCTTCATACTTCTTCAGGAAGTAGTACTGAATTATTGCAATGATTAAAAAAAGTGAATGTAATTTACTCCACAGGTAATTTATTCTCTGGAAGGTATAGACAATTTGTCTCTGGAAGACAAATTGACGAGCAACCAAATATCTTAAAGTCATCAAAATCAGGTTCTTCCAATGTCCTGGCCTTTCAGCTAACCTTCTCAATGGCTTCTACTCAGCGTGCCTATGCAGTAGCAGTACACATCTTGCAGAGAACTATAGGAGACTATGTAAATATTTATTTGAAAGGTTTCCACAAAGAGAGCCTCGGCAAATTCTTAGATCTCCTAAGAAATAGCTTTGAAGCTATTCTAGATTAGCTCCATCATTAAACTGCAGAACTACTTATCAACAGGTGTCAAAGAACAGTGCCTCTTGATAAGCGCTGCCAGCAACTCAAATATAGTCCACAGCCGTATTCCCAAGGCCAGCAAACCGAGGTTAATACTACTTCCATGTGA